TTCCACGTGGGGGCGCTTGCAATGGGGGGGGGGGGGGCGCCTCTTGAGTTCAGTTTTTGGGGGGGGAGGGAGGGCTGTTGTGACACTTATGGACCGAGACCAAATAAACTCAGCTGCCTCCAAACCTCCCCGGGATCCTGCCTCTGGTGTTTTGCACGGGGAGGGCGCACAAGTCACTCGTGAGTGCACGAGGAAGGGCAGCAGTCGTGGACATGTGCACACAGGCAGAGCCTGAGCATGTGGGACCCAGGTGTCCCACACACGATGCAGGTGTCCAGGGCGTGCACACACATCTGGGACATGCATGTGCACACGCATGGGACCCAGGCGCCCTGCATGGACACAAGCACGCAGGAGCCAGGTATCTGGGGGGACACACGCACACAGGACCCAGGTGTCCGGGACGGGCGTGGACAGACATCACAGACAGCTGCAGCCCGTACCACAAACACACATGCATGAGAACTTGGGTGGCTAGGGCACATGTGTGTATGCAGAACCCAGGCAGCCGAGACACGTGTGCGTGCACAGGCAACCCGGGCATCTGGGAACTTGCATGCACTTGCCTGCACAGAACTCGGGCAGCTGGGGGACACGTGTGCATGTTTGTGTGCACACACAACTCAGGGGTTTGGGAGACACCTGCATGCACACGCACATGCACATACAGAACCCCGGCATCCAGGGCCCCCCCCCCCCAAGCCCCCCCAGGAACCTGGAACACACACACGCACCCCAGGTGTCGGAGATGCCCAGAATCCAGGGGTCTGGGCCCAGTGTGCGCACACACATACACACACCTACCTACATACACACACAAGCCAGGCGTCTGGGGCACAAAGAGGACTTATGTGTCCAGGGCACACTCGCACTTGCACACGACAGAGCCCAGGGGCCGGGGGGGGGCACACTGAGCACCCAGGTCAGGGTCTGGGACGCAGACTCACGAACCAGGCGTCCGGGATGGACTTGTGCGCGCACCCCGCTGCGCTGTTGGGGTCACGCGCACACCCAGGTGCGCCTGGGTTTCATGTACATGCCCCTGCCCCTGCCCCTGCAGCGGGGGCCGCTGGGGCGCCGTCCGGGCCCAGCCTGGCGGCGGGGGGGGCCGGGTCCCGGCCCCGACCCTTCCCGGAGCGGGAACCTGAGGCGGGAGGGAAGGGGC